GCTTTATTACCTGGAGGCAAGAAGATGAGGAGTGTTTAATAAAAATAGGAGAGAAGTGGCTCAGCATCTGAGCTTTTCAGCAAGGGCACAGACAAGAAGGAGCGTTTAAGTCCTAGCTTGGTCACCTAGGACTTGTTAAAGTTATTTTATAATCAGAACTCAATAAATGGTCACCAAGTGATGATAATTATATTACATTGAACTATAAGACATCACCCTTTTTGTAGGTCAAAAATGGTCACAGATCAACTGATTCATGTGGTTCCAGGGCCCAGAGTCCTTGCTCTCTCTGCTCTACCTCCTCTACTCGTGGCAATGACTTTGACCCCAGAGCACAGGAGACAATAGAACAAAATGAAACAAAGAGGAAATGTCAATTTTAAGTATGACAAAAACTGAGACCAGGTATGAGGCAAAACACTTTTTAAAGAGAACACTGTCAAATCCTAAGGCACATGCTCATTATTATTTTTTTTTTTGGTGGGGAGGGCGGGTTGTGGCTCATTATTTTTAACACTAAACTTTTTTTTTTTTTTTTACTTCTGCAGTCTCTGAAATTACCTGTACATAGAACTTCCCTTTAGTAGAAGGATTAAACAGAGTGGACACACTTAGAATTATTCCACTGGATGAAAGTGACTCCATGTCAAAGTCCCTGACTTCGTGGTCAGTCACTGAGCTATCACCAGCAACCCCCTCCTACCAGTCATCTCGTTATGTGAGGGAAAGCTCCAATTCCTGTGAGCCCTGAAGTCAGGTTTCTGTTCCCTGAAGCTGAATGCATTCCACATGAAAGCAATTGGCTTGTTTTCAGGTAAAAAGAAAACCAACTTTCTGATAGTTTAAGAGGTCAGCAAATAATTGTGGTTCATCTCAGTCTGGGGTTCACCATTAAGTTCTATTCATGTGCTGCTTAAAAAAGTGTGTCTTTAAAATTCAGCTTAGACATCACTAAAGTGAGTTATTTATACACTGGGGAAGAAAATATAATGAGGACCTTAATATCTCTCCTGACCTTTGGCTACTCCTATGTGTTCAGATGACAGGTGACATCACTCCACGCACGAACAACAAAAATGAGCCTTTTCTGACCCCTTGCCCTGTGGCCAGCCCACAAACATCCCAAGTTTCTACTAAATGCCAGCAACGAACTATCCTCACAGTCACTGGGGAGAAAACGGTGAGTAAGCCTGCTCCTGTCCTCAGAGCTTACAATGGGGGGATGTGGCAGACAAAACTAAGTGAACAAATAAGATAATTATAAATCTTAAGTGATATGAAAACACAGAAACAAAAAGCCCGAGGGCTGGCTGAAGAAGCATCTTCCCAAGAAGAGCTGAGTTTATAAGAGGGTCTGTGTGGCCAGGGGAGGAGGAACAGGGAGAATGGAGGCCACCTGACAGCCTGCCTCAACTTTCTAAGGGTCTTGAAGAGAGAATCAGGTGTGGATATCAGTGAAGTGCTGAAAGTACTATCCAGCAGTGTTGAGGGTCCAGCCGAGGTGAGAAACTGCCTCAGAGATTGCTGTTCTGACAACGTAGTGACTGCTTTCCTGGGGTGTTGGTTCTAAAGAACATGTCTTCAGTTGGGTTCCCCCAGAAGTTGATCTTGAAATGAGATTTGTTAAGAAAGTGATTTATTAAGAAAGTATTTCCAGGAAAAAACTGGGAAACAAAGGTGCGATCTCAAGTCCCACAGAAGGTATCTTTGGTCTGATCCCACAGGAGAGCTGTGGAGTATAAGTTATGCCATAGAGTTGTTCCAGTCCAGAGAAAGGAGCAGAGCTATCATACTTCTGTACTTGTCCATCATTGGTTAAGGGCTGCCTGGGGGAATGAATTCCCAGGGCTTCTGGCTCTCCTTACCAGCTGGAAAGGCATACTCCAGAGCACTAGGGCAGGCCTCCAAAACAGAGCTAAGGTGTTGGAAGTGAATGCCCATTGAAGCCAGGAGCAGACAACAAACAGGGAAAGGGGATCTGAGGGAATCTGGGCCGAGTTTGGTTATCATCTGCCTCAACACATAATGATGACATAATGCGTCATCATCTCGTCCATTATGTCATACAGGCCTCAGCAAAAGTTGTTCTGAACTGGCATCTTGTTTCTAAACAGCCTAATTGATTTGAAACGATCTTATAAAGTTCTAGTGCAATGTTGAGCACTTCAGTTTCTTATTAGTCATTTTGTAATGAGTGTTGAAATGGACTATTTTTGCAGGATTTTGGCAGCCTATAAATGTATTCGGAGTTACATTTTCCTTCATTGTCACATGAGACCTCTATAACTGGCTCTTTTTCAAAAATGAGGTAACTCTAGTCCCTTTGGTGACACACAGTAGAAGGGGGAGGGTCCTCCTCCAGGGTCTGAAGCAGTAACAGTAGCCACCTGGCACAGGCACCAGAGATCCAGAATGTTACAGAAATACCACTGTGGCCTCTATGCCCTTGAACAGAATTTTTCCCCAACTAGAATTTTACCCAAGGTCAGGATCTGTAAAGCGAGGGAGTCACAATTGTATCACATACTAGGCAGGGCAATTTCTCCAGTTTCTTTTCCCTCCTACCCTGAAAAGTTGTTTTCGTTTTTGTTTTTGTTTTTCTTTAACTAAACTAGATCTATGAACATAAATGAGACAATAAACTTGTACACAGCTGGGTTCTCCTTGAGAGAAAGAAGGAATAAATCCTAACGTACAGCATGTCACAGAGGTAATGCTGTGTGGCACACTGTCTCTTCTTCCTGGCACACAAGAGACTATTTTTCAGGCTCACTCACAATTGGATCAAGGCTAAGTTGTGACTAAGTTCTAGCCAATAGGATGTGGGCCCAATTACTATAAGCCGGTGCTACTCAAAATGTGGTCCATGCACCAGTGCCCATTTGCAAACTGTTTGTTACCAGTCTGCAATGAGCTGATACAGAAATTTTAAAGTAAGTAATTAAGGATTTTTATAGTAATTTGACATTGCCACTACATCTAAGCAGCATTTCCTTTTTCTAGTAATTCATTTTTGCTGCATTTTTATAAAAGCATTAGACTGTGATGGACTAACATTTTTAAAATATTTTTTTCATTATTCAATTACAGTTGACATACAATATATTAGTTTCGGGTGTACAACATAGTGATTACACATTTATATAACTTACAAAGTGATTACTCCAATAAATCTAGTACCCATCTGATACCGTAACGCAGGAGCCCCAGGCCTGGAACTTGCACCTGGACTTCGGTTATTCTGAAAAAAAAAAAACCACCAGGAGGGCCAGAGCGGTGAGAAATGCTGTTTATTATTCACGAGGCAGGGAAGCTTCAGCAGCGGCCTGTCAGAGCTCAGGAAAAGGCATCAGGCCAACCTCACTGGGGGAGCTGCTGCCTTCTCAGATGGATTGGAGCAAGATGTGCTGTTTAGTTCCAGAAGCAGATAGCGTCCATGAGAACGACAGACCAGCCGCCTTCTTGAGCAGAGCGAGCAGATAAGGTCCACAGGAGCAGCAGAAAACGTCCTTGGGAGCAGGCCCTGCCCAGAGCTCTTTGTGCACTTCCTTCCTTATAGCCATAAGGAGCACTTCTGTTTCTTACTACCCATCTGTCTTCTGAGTATGTGGAGGGTCTATGTTCTGGGTTAACCCTATAGATATCATACATAGTTATTATAATGGTATTGACTATATTCCCCACACTTTACATCTCCATGACTATTTTGTAACTACCAATTTGTACTTTTTAATCTCTTCACCTTTTTCACCCATGCTCCCAAACCCCCTCCAATCTGGCAACCATCAAAATGTTGTCTGTATCTATGAGTTTGTTTGTTTTATTTGTTTATTTTGTTTTTAGATTCCATATATAAGTGAAATCATATGGCATTCGTCTTTCTCTGTCTGACTTATCTCACTTAGCATAACACCCTCTACATCCATCCAAGTTGTTGAAGATGGCAAGATTTCATTCTTTCTGTGGCTGAGTAATATTCCATTGTATATATGTACCACTTCTTGTTTATCCATTCATCTATTAATGAATACTTAGGTTGCTTCCATATCTTGGCTATTGTAAATAATGCAATGAACATATGGATTCACATGTCCTTTCAAATTAGTTTTGGGTTTGTTTAGATAAATACCCAGAAGTCTGATTACTTGGTCCTTCTTCGTCTCTTATCACAGCCTTTGTTTTAAAGCCTATTTTGTCTGGTGTAAGGATTAGTAACCCAGGTTATTTTTTTTTGTTTCCATTTTCATGAAATATCTTTTTCCATTCCTTTACCTTCAGTGTGTGTGTGTCTCTTTCAATCTGAAGTGAGTCTCTCGTAGGCAGCATATGTAGGGGTCTTATTTTCTTATCCATTCAGCCACCCTATCTTTTGATTGGAGCACTTAGTTTTTTTTCATTTGAGGTATTTGCTGATAGATATGTAGTTATTGCCATTCTTTATTCATATTTTGATACGTATTCTTCTTCTTAAAGAAGTCCCTCCAATATTTCCTATAATACTGGTTTGATGGCGATGAACTCATTTAGCTTTTTCTTATCTGGGAAGCTCTTTATTTGTTCCTTCAATTCTAAATGAAAGCTTTGCTGGGTAGAGTAATCTTGGTTGTAGGTCATGGCTTTTCATCAGTTTGAATATTCTGAAAAAAAGCCCTTCTGTCCTGCAAAGTACAGATTTGAGGAATCAGCTGCCAGTCTTATGGGAGCTCCCTTGCAAGTAACTGCTTTTCTCTTGCAGCTTTTAAGATTCTCTCCTTGTCTTTATTCTTTGGCATT